ATCCTATACTAAACAAAACTATCATCAGCAATGTTAGTGCAAATATGATCTAAAATGGTTGCTGAATTGTGATTTATTCTAGTAGGAAGAGTTATAAGAGGCAAAAAACTATTCTCAAGAAGCGTATCTAAATAAGTCTCTGTGTCACTATGCAATGTATGTTTTAGAAGGTTATTATTCATATCTCCTACTAAGACTACATCCTGCGCATTTCTTGAAGTAGGATCAGACCTAATTTTTGAAAAATTTCTCTTATTGTTTGCTTAAAATATTTCACGTCTGCATACGGAGCAGTGTTAGGCCTGTAAATGTTACCTACAACTGTATATTTATTCTTCCCATTTTTAATCTTAATAAATTGTGATTCAAAAACGGGAGGTAAGAAGATAGAAATTGAATTAATCGGTTCAAAACAAAGTGATTTCTCAACCCAGAGTCCTACTCCTCCCCTGCATTACTATTAAAGATATAAAAGTGAAAACATGAAAACATATTAATAACTTTTGTTTCAAGGGATCTAAACACCCCTTTAGCTAGGCAGCATAATACAGTTCAAAATATTCACACAGGCTGGTTTTTTGCACAGGCTTATTACTTTCTAATACTTCTAAAATTCATATTTTCTTGTCCATTGTCATAAATAAAGCATGATATAAAAAGTTTATAGTGTCGTAACTTTTACATAAAATCCAAACTATTGGGATCCCAAACGATTATTAACTAATGTTCAAGATATTGGGATTAGGCTTGGTTTGGGAATAAGGTATATGAATGAGATAGAACCAATTGGAAGTAGGTAGAAAATTTTTGGAATTGGAAAGGATATCAACTAAAGAGGAAGTTGGGATTGGGATGGAAATCAGCTGTAGAGAAATTTGGGATTGGAAGATTTGGGATTAGGAATCAATGAGAGCTAGGATGAAAATAAGGGTTGTTATATTGGTAGTTAGAGTGATTGGAAAGATTGGGCAAAGGAGTAGATGTTTTTTTAAGAAACACTGTATTGAAAGAGAATAAGCAAAATATTGAAGTTTAGTATAAAGATACCGATAGGATAAAATATGTGTGTGTAAAACTATAAGAGAATAAGTGATTTAGTGGATAAAAATGTTAAAATGGAATGAAGACGACATCTTGGAAAGGATGAACGTATTATTGTCAAGTTAAAATAAAAGAGTGAAAGGGATATAAAAATCATCTTTAGAATCATTCAATAATGCAACTCAAACTAGTTTGTAGATTAGTATTTTTTACATGTTTTGTCAATGTTATTTAAGAATTTAAAAAAATGTTTCTTCTGCTGATTGAAACAACAGGTAAAATATTACAAACAACTTATACGCTCTTTTTAAAAATTTACACCATAAAAATGTCTTACCGGTATCACATGAATCCTAAAGTATTCTTCTACAATACTGCACTTTCGACTCAACTACCAAATCTAGCCAGGCCATTTAAGTCAAAATAAGTATTGATAAATATTGCTTTATATTGAGCAAATTCCTTAGATTGAATGAACCAAGTTCAATAAATGGGTACTGAAACAGAACTGTAAAATCAATGGATGAATCAACTGAATGAGTGTTTAAAGATGGGATTGAAGATTCTACAGCTGCATTTAACACAACATCTTGCGGAGCTCACACTTTTTATTTCGGCTATGTTTTAGTTCTAATCATTGCAATCATTATAATATCCATAGTTTCTTTGTTGTGGTTGTAGAATGTTTTACAGCAATACTGGAACTCCCATTGACTTGGTCTTGTATATACCAAGTAGAAGATATGCCAACGTATAAAGCAGAAAAGATTCTGCATTTAATATTTGCCAAATCAAACTGAATTTAAATTTTTAACAAAAATATTTAGTAGAGTCAGAAGCATTTCTAAGGATTATTACATTATAGTTTTTAATTCTTTTCCTTCAGTACAAGCACAGAATTCAGAATATTGGGAAGTACTGGATGGTTCTGAGTGTTACTGGGGGTACTGGGGAGGACTGGCTGATACTGAGGGTTACTGGTGGGTACTGCGGAGTACTCAGGTAACTGCAGGATAACACCCAACAGTACATCCGACAGTACCCTTCAGTAACCCTGGCCTCAGTACCTCCCAGTACCCCCTAGAAACCCCCTAGTACCCCCGCGTACCCAACAGTACCCCACAGTACACCACAGTACCCTAAAGTATCTCAAAGTTTCACTCAGTACCCCCAATTTCCTCCAGTGCCCCTCAGTCTCTGTAGCAGCACCTCCACACAAATGAGATTATAGCATATATAGAGTGATGATATATGCTAATCCTTTACCAATTGTACAGGCCATGTACTTCACTAGCTAAGATCCAGCCCCCCCTGCCCCAACAGTACCCTGCAGAACCCCTCAGTTGCACCCAGTACCTCTTGTATCTCAAAATTTCTCCTGTATGCACCTAGTCTTAATAATTGAAAATGATATTTTTTCAAAGCTAGAATGAACATTTTTTTAAAGTTAGTTTTACCAGGGTATTTCTAGATAAATGCATCAGGGTTGTAGAAAAGTTTGAGGTTTAAATAGGTTTAATATGTAATACTATAATTTAATTTACCAAAATTATACTACAACCCTTAAACTATCATACAGGGATATTCTTAGGTTTTAAACATACCAGGGAATATTTTGACACCTTCTTTTATTCTTAAAACATTTAGTGAAAGAAAATTTCTATCTTTAGTCACTTTTGTCTTTTTGGCACGTGCCATATTAGAACAATAAGATTTGTATGCAATATTATAGAATAATATTGTTTTAAACAAAAACAATTTATTAATTTATCTTTGATATATTTAAACTATGTATATAATTTTGCATTTTAAAATACATAAATGTAAATATGCATGTAAAGTAAATAAAATATTAAATTCATGGTCCATATTTTGTCCATCATTAATATTCTACCGTCTTTAAGGAAATCGTGAACATAGTCTTGCTATATTTGTGAACTGCATGATAGTAAACGCGTTTGGTGCATCCGGATCAGCTGGTGGGCTAGGATCTGCGCAAACTAAATTTAAGTTCTGACAACACTGAGCACTCATAGGTCTGAAAAGATTCAAGTAGTTTTAATTTTATCGTCAAAAAACCAACCAAAAACATATCAAATTTTACTTTTTATTTTAGATATCAACCAAAAAATCAATGATAAAAAAATCTTACTTTTTTTCTTGAATAGGCTCATTCTTATTAATTTCAAAACTCAAAAATTCTTACGTATTTGGTGTTGGAAGTCTGCACGGTGCTCCGACTGTAGAAATGCACTGCTGCTGCGGAAATAAGAAGGATTGTGTTGAGTTGATGAGGAGAAGGATGGAGAGGATTAGAAATACAACCTTCATCTTGCAGTTGATCAGATCAGAATACAATTTCAGTTAAAGATACTCCAGCATTTATGGGAATTAAAACTAATAAAAAAGGCAAAAAAATATATGTTATTTAAACGCCATTTCCTAACGCAATAAAATTTCTATAAAACACACCAACTGTGAATGGATTCATAATCTATATAAAAAAGTTGAGTGCAAAAGCTTAATTATTTACATTTCCGAATGCAATAACATTCAGGAATAAATACATACTCTTATAATTTACAGGAATTATACTTTTACTAATAAATGCAGCTGGTTGTAGCAAAAAGAATGTAAACATGAGATTCTTTAAACTTGCAATGCCAATATGTTGTACATTACAAATGATTTAAAGTTCTGAATTTAGACATAATGACATTGTTCATTGAAACTACGTTTTCGGTTTTCAATGAATTCTTAAACATGATTACCTCAAGTCTCGCAACATACTTACATTCTTTAAACTTGCAATGCCAATATGTTGTACATTACAAATGATTTAAAGTTCTGAATTTAGACATAATGACATTGTTCATTGAAACTACGTTTGCGGTTTTCAATGAATTCTTAAACATGATTACCTCAAGTCTCGCAACATACTTAAATTATGCTATAAAATATGGTCAGAAATAGATTAATTGTATTCTATTCTCTTTAATCCTTTAGATACGTTCATTAAAACTTCAACTGTGCAATAAATACGCAAATCCTGGAAATGCGATTAAACTATTCCATGTTCGTAGAAAGATATGACTCTGTCATATCTATATTGTGATTGTCTATTTCGTATATATATTAACCAACTGTGACTTGTAATTACATTTAAATAACCCATTTCTAAATGCAATATACAGTTCAGTTGACTAAGACTCTGCTTTTGATTAAGTTATCAGAAGCCTAAGTAAGCTTGTCTGGGACTGCTTGTTCCTCGTTGAATTATACGAGTTGATATTATCTTACCTCATCTATGAACACTCAAGGCCAGGTTGCTTCTGTCTCTGGCCGCCTCTGTCCTCCTTACCTGTACTTGAATTTGGCGGAAGGATGGCATTCAGTCCTCGTTGAATTATATGAGTGGAATTGCCTGTGTGGCATTTAGTGTTGCCTGTGTGGCATTTAGCATTGCCTGTGTTACATTTTAAGTTGCCTGTGTGGCATCTAGAATTGCCTGTGTGGCATTCAATTCGCTTGTGTGGCATTTAGCATTGCCTGTGTGGCATCTAGAATTGCCTGTGTGGCATTCAGTATTGCCTGTGTGGCATATAGCGTTGCCTATGTGGCATTGAGATATTGCCTGTGTGGCACTTGGATCCGGCCCTGTTTGATTGAAGAGCCAGTCCTGGATAAGAGTGTTTAGAGGATAGACCTGAGATGGAATTTAAAGAATTTGAGCCGCGGTTTAAATCCGCCAAAACCCGGTTTAAATTTAGCGCTGGATTAAATCTTGAAACATTTGATACAATTTTAAGTGAAACCAACCATATTTGAGCCGCGGGTTAAATTTAAGCCACTGCTCAAATTCTTTAAATTCGGTCTCTGGATAGATACGTCTCGAAAAATTGTACTGGAGTAAGGGTATTTTCTACATGGTTACTTGCCTCTTACTTACAGAGTTTCTTTACTTACTTTCTTCAGATTATATATCAAGTTTTATTGTAAAAGAAAAGTGATAAAGCAGATTTGGGTTGATAGAACCATCTTTGCCAACTATTGAAGAATCAAAGATATGATTAAAAATGATAGTTTCTTATTTCCGGTCAATGTAGCGTAAATTAACATTAAAGTGAACCTCCATTTAAAGAGGGGCATTCTCGATTCACAATGGGACCTTTATAATGTGGAAGTTTACGTCGTTTTCCTAACTTGACAAGTTTTAATCCTGATAATTTTTTGGTACAATTCGCAATAAATCCCTTTAGTTTCATACCATTAATATGTCTATGATGTATAAATAGTGAATTGGGCCAAGGATTTCAAAAATACGGTCAACATTGGTGTACATTTACTCAGTGCGCGTGCACGCCGCAAAAAATTGCAATAATGTGTGCAAAAAATAGGTTGTATACCATTTAAAATGTTTTCGAGGCCTAGTGTTTTAAAAATGCGACCAAGATTTTCACACACTTACCCGGTGCGCGTGCACTCCAAAAAAAATTGCAAAAATATGTGCAAAATGCATTTTGTATAGCTAGCTTTAAAACTAAATATTTTTATTTTCTGTAGTTTTTCAAGATAATGATTGAATTACATAATATATATTTTATATATCACTTTAGTTTAGAAAGGAATTTATATCTGTGAATTTAATGTAGGTTACTAGTTCGTAACCAAGTCATGAGATAAAAGTTTTAAATTTGATCGTGTCCCTGTTTATATATAAACAACAGACACATTTGAAAGAATTCATAAGTTGTAATAATAACGACATCTTCAGAAATACTGTGAGTCGACTTTTTTCGTGTAAAAATGCCAGAGTTTGGACATCATGTAAAACAATGACGACATTCTTCAAGATACATTAAAAACTTAAATGTAACATATTTAGAATGAGATCTTAAGAAATACTGTGAGTCGTCGTTTTTGGAGTAAAAATAACATATTTTGGACATAGTGTATAACAATGACGATATTCTTCAAGATATTTAAGAAATCAAAATGTAACATATTTAGAATGACATAGTGCAGACATAGTCTGTACTAATGACGACATTTTTAAAACAGGAATTCAAAGCTGTACATATTCAGAGCTATACTTCTGACGACATTGGTTGAACAACTGTGGGTATGCGTTTTTCGAGTATTATTACATAGATCGGTCTTGTTACTGACGACATTCTTTAAAAGAATTTATGAAATTGAGAATTAACATAATTTCAAAGGGCTTTTATCAAAAGAGGAGATGCTTTTCGATAATTAAAATGTCATCTTGAAGTATACAAGTGGAAAAAAATAGCACAATGTGGGAGCTTTTTTATAATATATTTGAAAATTTTGTAAAGTGGAAAAAATAGCACGATGTGGGAGCTATTTTATAACATATTTGAAAATTTTGTAAAGATTGGTTTAAACCCGGTCATTAGCCAGAGAATCTGGCAGAATTTGTAACTGTTCACATCGATCTCTATAGATTGGAAGGATATTGACTGATCATCGTCTAGAGTAGTTTAACCGTTTATGGTGGTTATACCAGGTAATGATAGATTCATGAATTTATTTTCTCTTTCTTTCATTCTTTCCTTCTTTCCTTTGGTTCTTTAGTCCGAGTTGTTAATTATTCGCCATCAATTAGTCCTGTTTGAAAATTTAATCATATTACAAAATGGGTTCTCATTCGTTAAATTTTTTTTCTTGACACAGATTGTTTTTCAACGTAGTTTATATCCTGTGTGCCCAAATATGGCACTAAGCAACAATTTATTACATGCAAAAGTTTGGATTCCTTAAAATAATTTGTAATTTGTAAGTTATATAGGATAGAAATACGAGGATAAACCTGTAAATTATTTAGGGTAGAAATACAAGAACAACCTTGTAAATTTTCTAGGATAGAAATACGAGAACAAACTTGTATAACTAACTTGGATACAAACAAAAAAACAGACAGATAAGCTTTGTATATTTATAACATGAAAGTTTAAATTGTTATTAGAAATTTATTTTTGTTAATATTAATGACATATATGAATGGCAACTACCTAATTTACCGCCTGTTTTTAAAGAGTCCTCACCCCACCTCTCTTGAAGTTGGAAGGGAAGGGAAGAAAGGGAAGGGAAGGATGGAATGGGATAGGGAGGGGAGGGATGGGATGGGATGAAGTGGGGAGGGATGGAGAGGGGGGGATGGAGAGGGGGGGGATGGAGAGGGATGTTGATTGGGAGGGATGTTGATGGGGAGGGATGGGATGGAGAGGGATAGGATGAGATGGGGGGAATGTTGATGGGGAGGGATGGGATTGAATGGGATGGGGAGGGGATGGGGGGGATGGGGAAGGGATGGTACGGATGGGATGGGATGGGGATGCATGGGATGGAGATGGGATGGGGAGTGGACAGATGGTTAGGGAATGGGACCGTAAATCATATTTTTATTATAAAGCACATGCAGATATGTACAGGTGCAAAATATTTTTTTACATACATAATAAAAAACGCAAAGACCCTTCCCCCTTTCCCAGCCTTTTTTGGGTGGGGCTGGACACGTATCAACTCTTTCAAGCAGTTTTGTTAACGGTTTGTTCCAAGCGTTGAAAAAGAATTTAGGTAGCCATTAGTTTTTAGTTTAGTTTAGCCGTTCATTTCTTTAAGGGTATTTTACGTTGTTTTTAAGTTACCGTTAGTTAACAATCTCAATTTTATGAACAAGTGATGCATATATTCGGCATGCTCACAAAAATTATTTCTCTATAAATGTGAGTCTATTTACTGCTGAATATTTTATGGCATGCGGAAATGATATGATGTAAAATAAAAATTCTTTCTCAATTAAACATTTTATTTGTTTCGTTTTCCATAAAAGCTGTTGTATCTCTGTCTGAAAATGTATTGTAGTCTGATCAACTGCAGGATGAAGGTTGTATCTCTAATCCTCTCCGTTCTTCTCCTCATCAATTCAACACAATCCTTCTTATTAAACTTCCAACAGTGCCGTACTGCAGGAAATCCATGTTCTCTACCGCTTGCTACAACGTAAGAATATACTTTTTTTGGAAAATGAATAAATACGAGTTGGTTTAGTTTCAGGTCATGTTGGTTGATAGTTGCTTGCTTACAATCAATATTACAATATAATTTTTTATTAACAAAGGAAACAACTAACGAACAAATAAATTGTCTGTCATATTTTAATCTGTTAATAATTGTTTGTCATTTTCATTAAATAAATATTCAAAAAAAGTATAAAAATAATGAAATTTTTAGTAGTATATTTATCTCTTTAGAACGTTTTCTGGGCAATGCTGTCAAAATTTGAACTTAGCATGTACAGATCCAATACCACGAACTATAACAAGGAGCTACAATCAATGGCTGAATTTAAACAGAACATGCCAGTAATACAGATGAAGATGAAAGATATTGCTGATGGATAATATTTGAACAATAAAATAATGTAAACTAGAATAATAAAAATGTTCTATTTTTTAATCATTTATATTTCCTGATCAGGTTATTTTAAAGCACATTATTTTTCAAGAATTTTTTTAACGTTAACCGCTTCAAATTTTTAGATTTCTATTTCTATTTCATTTATTTTCTTTCAACTGCTGGAATAAAAAATTTTATGGAACTGTTTCTTCTTTCAATTAATTGGTTTTAAATAACTTTTAATTTCTTTCACACTAGCTTAAGAATTCTTTTTCCAGAGGTTACAGTTGAAAAAAAACAATTTTGCATAAAAAATTTAGTCCCCTTAATAGAAGAACAAAAAGGTTGTAAGAAATGTGCAATTTAAGCGGTTTAGAAATTAATTATTTTGTAAAAAAAGCTAAATTTCATCTGCTAGAAGGAAAAAAAGGTTGCAAAAATGAATCCTATTGGTTGAAGACAAAAAAACCTATATGTAAATGTGTAAGTGCAGTGATTGGAGAAAAAATAATTCTTTTTAAACAAGTGAAACCCAGTGGTCGAAAGTATGAAAGTTCTGTAGTAAGTGTTTTTGTAGTGAAAGCAAAAAGTTATTAAAATTTGTGGGCAACTGGAGCTACAGCTAAGATTACTGTGTAACAGATACTACACGGGAGCATGCTCAATGAGATATTGAGTTAAATATAGCTTCCTTCACCGTGACAAGACGTGAGTGTGTGTGTGTGCGCTCGGTCATCTGGCACTAATTATCTATAAGTTCATGTATAGATAGTTCAGTCAACAATTTATACAGGTTGTATAAATTGGCTGGTAGGAAAAATGCAAACCATGAAAAACCTCCAAGGGCTACTAACTCCAAGGAAAATAACAAGTCAGAAAATCACCCAGAAATAGAAATTGCTGCCCTAGATTCTATTCTCAAAAACCTGTCCGATCTAGGAATTGGTTCTGAGACTGATATACAACCTGAAAAATCTAGTTTTGGTACAATTCTAAACCATTTAGTTGAAATTGTGGTTATACTGAGCAAGGAGATATCAGAGCTCAAACAACAGAAGCAAGAAGNAATGTACAATGTACATTGTTTTTATCTGCAATTCTCATTCGTTTATAGTGGGCCAACCAATTAAAACAACCTACTCTGGTTAGGCGGGTCCAAACTACATAGTAAATTGTGATTTTTTATTTGTATTATCTCGTGCTTTGTAGTTGAATAAAAATATGAAATAATATGAAATCCGGAACAGGAGCAGCAAAACCGAATATGGAGTTTAGGAAGTTGCTCGGGCGGAAATCAAACTATCACAGACGAGCTACAGTTCTCAGATACTAGGACAGCAAGCTTAGCCAGAATAAACCACAACAGATGTATCTTAGATCCAATAAACTGTGAAAACATATTTATTTCTACTTTAAAGAACGAATTATTATTGAAGAGAGAAAAATCAGTTTATTAAACAGCACCAGGTTCTGAGCACCTGAGGGAGCAAATTTTTTAAAGCCTGAGGATATCTCAGCTTTTGTAATTGAGATAGAACATTAAACATTACATTTGTAACGACATCAATTACACTGTTACAGAGTTTTCTGGTTCTCACTGTAGAAAAAGAACTAATTTTTTATGATACAAATCTTACGATTTTAATCGAAAACAGTTTCCATTTTAATGTTCATCCAATGTGAACAAATGAAAATACACGAAAAAATGCTAAATTTTATGAAATTTTCTTATCGTGAAAATGCGAAAATATTTTCGCAAAATGCAAAAATTTTGCGAATTGCAAAAATTTTGTGAAAACCATGAGTTTTATAGCTGCAAAAATTAATTGCTCTAAAGAACTCGTGGAATACTCTGCTCCGTAGTAGATTTTATTTTGTGTTTTAAGAAGAAAGATCTTAACGGCCGAGTCTTTTTTGATGATTTTCGCAATTTTTTGTTTCGTTTTTTTGCAAAATTTCCATTTTTTCATGAAATTTTTGCATTTTTTCACTAAATGTTTGTATTATTTTTTCATGAAATTTTCGCATTTTCTGTTCCTCAAAAAAAAATTCACAAAATATTTGCTTTTCCTTTAAGCTGAAAACCCTACACCTTACCAGCCAGGATAAAGATATATATAACAATCTTTATATAGGATGGATCAAAAGAGTTGGCGGGTTAGTGAAAGCTATTAAGTCAATGGTGTAGCTAGGGGGGGGGGGGGGCAAACCAAGTTTAGTCCTCCCCTCAACCCCTCAGCATATTTCACCCCCTCTAGCCTCCCCCCTCTCACTTGACTCCAGCATGAACATGAATCGATTGTGGACTATTTTTATCAAATTTTGCTAAAAATGATAAAAAAAGAAAAAAATGTTCATTTTCATTAGAATTTCTAACTTTTTTCTCATTTTCAACTCAAAGACAGTCAGTCATTCTTAATGTATTCTCAAAAAAACCTGTACATATATATATTGCTTCTCATGATTTATACAATACATTTATCTTTTAAGGTTACACAAGAACAACAAGAAATATGATAAGGATTATATAAACTATTAGGACTTTTGTAGACTATAAGAGGAAAAAATGGATAAGCCCCTTACTGGCAAACAAGGACAGAGGGACTTCGATCAGAAAGACTATTAGTATTTTGTATTATGGACAGACAAAAGTACCGCCAGAACTGCTAGTAGACACATATATTTAGTGATTACAAATAAAATACTGCAGACTGTAATAAAGGACTTTATATACATAGTGAATATGACAGGGATTAACAGACACTAAGAAATACATGAAAAGCCAATTTTTGGAGCCTTACTTATATCATTTATTTTAAAGCTGTTGGAACTTGGAAGTATATTTATATATGTACAAAGTACACCAGAACATGCCATAAATATAATAAGAATTTGGTATATTATTGAGCACGGATCCAACCCTTCAACAATTAAAAAATACTGTTTTTTTACTTCAAATCCTGAAAACTGCGCTTTCTCTTTGAAAAAATATTTGACAGGAGGATCCAAAAAACATAATATTCGGAAGGAACAGCTCAGAAGGAGACTTGTCAGAGGTCTGGTGAAGCAAACTTCTGCAGAAACCAAGACAATCCTCAACATGTTTTTAGGCCAAAAGTAGAATTTTTCGGTAATGATATGGCTAATCTTAAATATTTGTTCTCAAATACCTCTAAATCATGTTGCTTAACCCTTTCAGCCCTTGTTTCAAAATTTAGGGGTTAAATTTTGAGGAATACAGGTATTTTTCAAGTGCTTTTCTAATCCTACCAAGCATTTTTTTCCATACTGAGCTGAAAACTTAAAATGATGGATATCAAGATTAATGCTTAAACTCCTGAGCTGAAAACTTAAAATGATGGATATCAAGATTAATGCTTAAACTCCTGAGCTGAAAACTTAAAATTATGGATATCAAGATTAATGCTTAAACTCCTGAGCTGAAAACTTAAAATTATGGATATCAAGATTTATGCTTAAACTCCTGAGCTGAAAACTTAAAATGATGGATATCAAGATTAATGCTTAAACTCCTGAGCTGAAAACTTAAAATGATGGATATCAAGATTAATGCTTAAACTCCTGAGCTGAAAACTTTAGAATGAGATATCCTTAATCCCGATCACTTAATCTAAGTATCCAATGGACACACTTTTGAAATTCTTCTTAAACCGTTCTTTCTTGGATACAGAAGAGAAAAATCTAAAACCAGTTTTTTAAATTATAGCGTCCCTCCTGCTTCTGTATATTAATCTTAAATGGCATGAAAAATTTAAAATTTATCGGCTTCATTTACGCGACTCTGATTGGTTGAATTTTATACACTTTTCAGGATACAAGTACTATACAAGATTAGTTTAGTCTCAATATTAAGAAAAAGAGAGGATAAAGCATCAATCTCGTTATCCATCATTCTAAAGTTTTCAGCTCTGGTTTTACTTAACCCAAGATTATTTTAAAACGCATTCCATATCCAAGAAAGAAGTTTGAAATTCAATCAATCAGCGTGTTATGTTAAGATGTACTCTTTAACTTTTGAAAAACTGGCTTTATTTCTGGTGTTGATGGTGTCATATCAATTGAACTAAACATCGATTGAACCAACGTAAGTTTTGGATTAATGTTTTTTAAAACTAACGTTTAAAATTACAATGGCCATAAAATGTGATAAAATATGTTTTTTTGTAAGTTCATATTAATATGATGAAATTTATATTTTTTAAATGCTTTAAAAGCCGGCTTGTGAACAGCTGATTTGAATTAAATCGGATATTATAATATAGTCCAATCGATATAGCATTGTATCTGCAATTTTTATCAAATGTAACTTTATACAGAATAGGGATATCCAAAAAAGAGGATTAAGAAGAAAATCAAAAGTGTGTAATTGGATACTCAGATTAAGCGATCGTAATTAAGGATATCTCATTCTAAAGTTTTCGGCTCTAGACTTTTAAGCCTTTTACTGATCCCTGTCCTTTTAAATTTAGCTCACCACGACTGGCTGTGCTTCTCTAAATCCTACATCTAGATCCTTACCAACATCTTTCTGCCTTTTTCCTGACCTCAAACACCCCAATAACTAGTCCCGATGGTATATCAGATATATGTTTTTTTTTAAATTGTGTTGCAGTAAAAAAAGATTTCTGGACAGTCTATTTTAATGTTTACATATATTTACTTTGCCCAAATATCATTTAGTAAACAAGGAAGAAAAGTATGTTTAAATTTTTTATGAGCCAAAAGTCATTTTCTAAACCAAAGGGGCCTAAATTCAACCCGCCGACTCTTTTTATCAACCATACATACTTTGCCTGTCTGGGTCTTTGTTTGCTGATTGTATCTAATAAACAGCAAAACGGCATAACCAATTGGGCCCAATTTTTGCATGGGACATCACATGACCCCAGGAAAGGTTTTTTTTTGCTAATGTTATATATCGTGCACAGAGAAGAGATAGAGCCATAATTTTTAACTTTATCAATTTATTTATTTATAATTTTTTATGAAACAAATAAATTGATACATGTATTTAATGCAGAATGCAGATACTTATTTTTCCAATCTTCTTGTTTCCTGGCTGTCCTGTTTTGCTCATTCAATTAGCTGAATACCCTCGCCCCCCCAGGAGGGTTAATATGCAGTTTCGACAGCTGATCAGGCAATTTGTAGTATTTCAATATCAGCTCTTGAGTTTCTATATTTATTCCAGTTGTTTTTGATATCGGCCATATGCAGGTTTATTGCTGACATTGTTGTATAATGAGAACTTCCCTTTGTCAGCTGCATTACATGTATCAGTGTCTTGCAGTAATTTAGAAAGAAATTAAAAGACCTATTAGCCTTAACTGCATTCGGCTAGGTTCAAGGTGATTTGGGTGTACCCCCTAGGAAATGAACACCCATGATACCAATGATGATCTCTCTCAGAAACTTTTGATTAAGATTCCACAGCAAAGCAGTTTCTGAGTTCCAAAATTAAAAGTTAAAATACTGTTACTGTTACTGCTTGAAAAATTTATTATTATTTTTAATAACATTATTTCTTGGCTCATGTTTCATGCAGCAGCAATAGTCTTCAAGGAAATGTCATGCATTGTCTTGGTCTTGCAAGGAAAGCAGCCGGAGTAATATCAACAACAGTAGGATCAGCTGGTGGATTGGGGTCAATGCACGCTAAGTTTAAGTTCTGACAGCACTGATTACTAATAGCTCTGAAAATAAGTACAGATAATTTTTTATTATTGACAAAACCTTTTACTTATTCCTTTCACTACCCAACGTAGCCCGCCCCCCCCCCACTCTTGTATACTCCCCGCCAACAAAAAAAAATTAAATATTTCTTTTTGTTAAATCTTTTTAGAAAAACATTTTTCTTTAAAATTTGAAAAGACAAAAATGTGTATAGGCTAAACAATTGCTGAATATTTGTTTCATCTGTAAAGTGAATAATAAATTTCTTGATATTATTATTCTTACGTGGTAGGAGTAGGAAGTGAACATGATGTTCCAGCAGTAAGGCATGACTGCTGGAAGAAGAGCGATCGTGTTGAGTTGATGAGGAGAAGGATGGAGAGGATTAGAGATACAACTTTCATCCTGCAGTTGATCAGATTAGAATACACCTTTACACATAGGTACACCAGCTTTTATGAAAATCAAAACCAATAAAAAAGAAGAAAAAAATTTAATTTTTACTCCATATCCAAATATAATAAAATTTCACGATAAATTCACCAGGTGTTATGGGGTTTAAAACCAATAAAAATGTTAGCGCAATGAAACAATTATTTACATATCCGTATACAATAAATAACCTGAATTTATAGGAATACAAATTATATTTTTACTGCAATGAAAAAAATAGATATTATTTTTCAGAACATAATAAGTTTAATAAATAGTTCAATGCTTTGTGTAGTTTTGTTCCAATTTTTAAGGTTATAAGCAATAGAATTAACAAAATCATTTGTTTTTCGAATTCTAAAAAGGAAAAATTAACAATTTTTTTCGTTTTGAAAATGTTTTAACATAAAAACAAAAACATTTAAAATCTTATGCATTTTTCAAATTTTCAATAAGATTCAGAATTTTTAATTAGCCAACAGAATTTTTCATCAATTAGGGTAAGTAGTAAATAATCAATGGTAGTAGTAGTTATTTATATCAAAAGTAATTAATTTCTCTAGGTTCATTGACTTTAAATGTTTACAATCATTTATGATTTAACAAGTGCTAAAAACTTTTTCCAACGCCCCTGTTACTTATTAGATTAGTGTAATTTAAAAACTAAAGTTAGGATTACAGAGCAAATGAGTTTTTATCAGATATGGTATAAGAAATTCATGTTAAAAGTTGTAAAGATCATGAAATTAATTTTAAACAATATAATCCTATAATTTTTTTATTTTTATGTTTTGCGCTTGCTTTTTTGTCTAATTTAGATGCATGTTGACCGAATTTTAAAATGCGTAATATAAAACATAAAATATAGTGAATACTGAATATGTGATAGTTAGATCTTTTATGAAATGTTTATACATTTCACTACATGCCTGTGCATAGAAACAAATAATAGGGGTTTTCTTAGCAAATACAAAAAAATACAATCATAACCTGAATTTACTAGTAATTCAATAAATCATATTAATTGAAATGGGTCTGCTTACAATGCATAATTGCTGTGCCTCATGTTTATTGGACTAAGTCATATCTTGTGTCCAAAAGTCAACTACCTATTCCAAAGTTTTCTGGTTATCACTGTACCCATTTTCGGAATCTGAAAAACAAGTAAGCTTTCTAGAACCAGAAACTGGTTTAATAAACTGCAAGATATGATTGAACCACGTAGACATAGTTCATCCACTTCTCTTCAGCTGATTCCGGCTCACAAGAGAAATGGTTGAACTATGTCTGCACTGTTTAGTGTTCAGCTACTTCTCCCTGTTCATCAAATGTGTTCCCAGGTGTTTATATTATATTTATTTTATTGGAGTCATGCATGTTACAACTTACAGAGATGCACTTTTTAATGTCTAAATATTTATATTTACATCAGTGCATAAAGATTTTATGAGCTACAAATTAAATAGATGCCTTTGTTGAATGACTTCATATTTGCCCCTAAACCTAGTTTTTAAAGTGTTTAAATATTTTATTGGGACTTTCCGTTTTCCAAATAGGATTTTCCAAAATATTAATGTAAATAACTGGAATTCCGAATTATTTAGCAATTATGAAAAACTATTGGAAATTGAAAAGATTCCGTTAATTTCAAGAAACTGGAAACTGGAATCTGAAAACTGGAAACTAACTGGAAACTAACTGAAAACTAGCTGGAAACTGGAAACTAACTGGAAACTGGGAAGAAATTTAGTCTTTGCTACAAACCAAAATTTTCTAATTCCTCTATCTTTAATTTAGTTTTTTATATGTATATTTTAGACATATATCAGATTTGAGACCTTTTCCAAGAAATGTCGTCTTTACCAGCTGAGTCCAAACCAAACACTTTTGCCGACCCTTCCTCTGTTTACCATGTGAGAGATCAAATTTATAAATAACTTTGCAATCAACTGTAAAATCCACTTAAGCTATCAAGTTTATATTCCAGAAGTGTTTACAGATATTTTAATCCATACCATCAAACCCTGAAACCCTCAATCACTCCTTTTTTACTCCGACAAGGAATACTACAGTTAAACCCTAAATAAGCCATACATCGAAAGAATTCAATAAATGTTGTATTCTTCACTTTCTGATAATGAAATGTTGCAGATATTTAGTTTTTTAATTAAATGATTATATGGAGCTCTTTAAGACTGTTTTCGCATATTCATGGCTATTTATTTATTTTCACAAATACTGAGATTTACGTAAAAAAGTATAAAACCCATTGAAAAATTTTCAAGACGACATTTGATAAATTGTTTCGATGTATGGCTTATTTAGGCTTTAACTGTGGTAAGTTACATTACTAAATACCCAACAATATAAAAATAAACAAAAAACTGCTAGCAGTCTCCTGCGCATGATTTAGGAATAATAGCAGAAAAAAAAATAATTCTTCCTTCATTAGAATAATCGTTTTTTTGATAAATAAATGGATTATCATTTTCAAAATCAGCCAACATTTGGTCAATGATGCAAAACAAGAAAAATAAAAAAGGAGATTTTAAGAAAATAGAGATATCAAAAAACCAGAAGCTGCTATCATATGATTATTTATATTATTTATACAACAAAAATTTATAATACCAATATTCAAAAATAAATGTTAAAAAAATTGATTATTAGGACATTTGCCTACCCTGTACAACAAAGAAACTGTAATTTTTTTATGGTAAGACGGTAAAAAGAACTTTTAGCAAAAAATTAATAAATTCAAATATATATGTTTACCCCTGCAATACCTAATCTAAATTTTAATATATAAATTTACCCCTGCAATACCTAATCTAAATTCAATCTCTAGTTCTCCAGTGTGTTAAACCAATTCATCCTAGACTAATGCATTCACTTATATCATTCATCATATCAGGCATATCATCTACCACAACCATAGGGTGTCCCAATATTGTGACAACTGTTACCACATTTAAAGAAATTTTGAGCCTTTGCCAAAAACTTCTAATCCTCTTTGCAATCTGAATGTGCAAGCCTTTGATATTTCCAACCTAGATCATTTGATTAAACAAAATGTATAGTTTTAAATATCAGCGGTTCTTTGACATTGGGTTTCAAAGATTAAAGGATCAGAACATTAAAAATTGTGGCAAAGACTGCCTGGTGTTCCCAAAGTAAATGTCCCTGTGCTTCACTGAAGACATTAGCTGAGCTGAGATAAATTCGGAATTATGGGTCGATGTTTAACAATTTAATGATGTGAAAACTGGCTCATTTTTTAACAATTTACGGATGTGCAAACTGCATGGCTCATCTTCTTATATCTCCGTTCATAAGCTAAGAAAACGGTAACCCACAATTTGAGTACCTCAGTGTAAAATTTAAAGTAATTTTTTAGACTATATTTTGAAAAAGTAGAAAAGCCTTTATTTCTTTTTTTCTTTGTATAACCTGGCTGTACAAGGAAAACAAGAATGAGTGCAAGGAATCTGAAGCGAGAAGAAAAAAATGGATGAACATTTATGAACAAAAACAATAATAAACAAAAAACACGAACCTGGCAAAGAACAAAAGCACAAATGTAACAAAAAACATGAACGTGGAAGTAGACATTAAAAAAACATTCAATTTAACCAAGCATAAGAATATGAACTTAACGTGGCCATGATTAGGGTTGTTGATCGTAATTGAAAACGATCGTTAAACGATCGGTTTTTTTTTCGTTTTCCGATCGTTTTCAAAAGCGACCGTTTCTTATTGGAAGAAAACGATCGTTTTTAAAAACGACCCACTCGTTTTGAACTTTTAAAAAACGAACAACGATCGTTTTTGAAAACGATCGTTTTTTATAAAAAACGATTAACGAAACAAAGCACTTTATAAAAACTGTCATTTTTGAAAAAAACGATCGTTTTTGAAAAAAAGATTACATGCAACTTTATCGCTTATATAAAGGTAAAAAGTTGTTGATATTTTTTTTAAACTGCTCAATGATAAGTACCGATGCCTTTCAGGGTGGTTTTCTTTCTCCTCCTCTCTTTGTTAACGAACGATGAAGAAAGGGTCGTCGTTAAAGATCGTTAACGATGGGTCGTTGTTAACGATCGTTAACGTAGGGACGTCGTTAAAGATCGTCAAAGAAAAGCTTTATAAAAACGATTATTTTGCAAAACGACCGTTTTCGTTTTTGTCGTCGTTTTAATAACGAAACATCATTTTTTATAAAAATGAAAACGATAACATCCCTAGCCATGATCAAGAAAAAAAAGAACCTAACCAAAGACCAGGCAATGAACCTAACCAAGAACAAAAACATGAAGCTATGAGAAGAAAAAGTATGAATCTAACAGACAAGAAAAACGATAATGTAATTAAAAACTAGAACGTAAACGTAATAAATAACATGAACGTTTAAAAAAGATAACATGAAGTCCTTATTAAGAGCAAGAACATGAACCTATAAAGAACAACAAAACCATGCAACATAAGAAAAAGGTAATGAACACTACCAACAAGAACCAGAAGTAAAGATAAAAAGAGAAAAGGCTTATCATAAATCTGATATTTGAAAAGAAGAAAAATAAACGGAAAAAAACTGAGAAAAATTGCAAAAATACTTCTGTTAAAATAAATTCGAAATATAAGGAAGACGATTTTTCCGACTCAAATGCCGACGTTTTATGTTCGTAATTCTTCCGCAATCTTTTAACCAAAACCCTTCCTCTTCTTCTCTTTTTTGATATGTCTTTCTTTCGCCAACCCCCCGCCCTCCTATCTTCATTTATTTGTTCCATCTCCGAATTACCGTCTTTTACCCCCTCAACTCCACTCCCTCCAACTAAATTTGTTCGAACTCTTCTCTACTTCCTTTCTATGTAATCCCTTTCTTCTCCTTTCTTTCTTTCTTTCTTTCTTTGAACCCCCTACCCCTCTATTTTTTCAACCCTCGTGTTCTCTCTGACTTTTAGTCTCTCAACCCCCTCCCCTTCCTCCATCAAA